TCCTTGGTGCTTCACAAATCAAGTGGGATCCATTGACTGTGGAAGCTGGGGGCAGTTTACAGTCGTGGCCTTATTTGATTCATACCCACCAAATTCGAGTGCCTGCCTGGGTCCTTTGGACTGAGTCCCGTGTAAAACGAGTCATGATGAGTGAGCCAGGCAACTGCCAGGGATCAATGTCCATATCGAGTCCTTCCCCAATCACTCACTTTAATGGGGAGAAGGGGTCTGATGGCCTCTCTTCAAAAGTACAGACTTGGTATTTTGTGAGGTGGATGTTCTGTCTTCCAATTTTGCGTCTAAGAAGTCTTTGAAATAGTACAGTCAGACCCTATAAATGTAAAGGGTGTACACAAACTAGTAGTGAGTCTCTCATATGGTATTTGTGGGTTTCTATATAATCAGGGTTATAAAAGAAAAGTAAATACAAGCTGTAGCTGAATCATAAGTGAGAAGTCCATTTATAAATAATTGAAAGTGAGACATGTCATAGACTTTCTGAGTGGGTCTATAAAATATAGCCTGACCCGTCCGCCTGCAAGTTCATTTGCATGACGTCTAGGCAGCTGGGACCTGGGCTAATGGAGTTTTATAGTTTCAGGGCATATAGCTCTGTCTTCAGTTTAGCTGATGTGAGGAGAGGATGAGAATCTAAAAATAGAAAAGGCATCTTCTTATCTTCTCATGGGGGGAGTGACAGACTGAAACTATGAAAAGCATCTTCAGGATGGTGTTCACTGGGTCTTCTCCCGTTACATTTATTTCGGTCTTAGATTTTCACTGAAGTTCAATGTTGAATTTCTAATACTCTGATTTTTCCTCCCTTGAATTTTAAAATTCTTTGTGTGACTGAGAGAAGAGGGTTTGGCAAAAGGGTCGGCGTGAGTGCCCTGGTTGAAGTAATATTTTACTGTTTCTGATACCGAAGGGTGGCTGATCATCCTTATATTAGTGAAGACACAGCTATCTTCAAGTGGAAAGACCTCCGGGGAAAGTCTGTGAGTGTTTTTATAGGCGAACGTGACATAGGAAATAAGCAGTGACAGTGTTCCCTTACAGGAGACTCGGAATGAACAGGTATGCAAATACCGCCCTAGGGCACCATCGGGTGGGCCCGGAGCCTGGGCTGCTGCCCCCTGTGAAACCTGAGTAAGGACGAGGAGCAAGGACAAGGAGCCAAGATCTGTTTCCCTGTAGCTTCTCCTTACTAACCCTGGGGCCTTTTCCATGACAGAGAAAGGAATCCTTCAGATCCCTGAAGCATCTTGTGGCCCCTCCATATTTGGGGTTTTCTTGAGCTGCTACACTCCTTCAGCTGCTTCTCATGTGTCACAACCTAGTTTATTTGTCTTCTGCTGGACCCCTCAGAGCATGTAGGAAGGCATTCCAGGTAGCCTTTGTCCCTTCTAAAGTGGGGAGCCTGGGGGTCAAAGGCAGTTTTCCCGGAGGTATCACGGAGGAATTGTCTTCTTGTTGGCAGCAGAGAGAAATACTTCACGGATGCTTGGGGGTGGGGGGGTCCTGCCGCGGCCTTATCCTTCCCTGAGGAATCATTTAGTAGTTTTGCTGGGGGCCCAGGTGGTGCCGTAGTGCTGTGTCTGGGTGCCAGGAAGAAGGGCACATTGTACAACGCTGAGACAGGGAAAGGGGAGCAGGAGCTAGGATGTCCTTGAAGGATGTGACAACTGAGCAAGAAAAGGGACGTCTGGTGTAGGCTCACTGCCCACAAGTAGCAGGCAGAGGCCTGCAGCTCCCTCAGGATGGTCCTGCCCCCTCCCTCCACCTGCCCCTGTTTTTATACATGTGTGTTTTAAATTAACATTGCAACCTATTTTGCAGGAGGCAAGGCATTTTTCACAACTCTCTCTCCACTAAGAATTGATCTAAAAACAAATAGCAGACAAACCAAACATTCCTTTCTTAAAATAAATGGAATTTTAAAGAAAACGCCAACCTCTTTGTTCCTTTTCAGAGCCCTGTGAGTTGCCAAAACAGTCAACTCTAATTGCGGAACTGATTTCTTGGTGGGCCACTTTGTCACATCCCCTTGTTTTTTGCCCTCCTCCTGGCCACTGCCTTGTTTTGGTCTTTTCAGCAACACTCTGTTTACCAAAAGGATGACAAGGAAATGAAGCAAGGGGCCACTTCCGTTTTCCCTTCATTGAATTATTATTGCTGTGGTGATTCCTCTGAGGAACATTGTCACTTGGGCTTAAATCGGGTGCCGGTAAGAAGCTAGAATTGGCTAGCCTACTGCAGGAATGGCCGCTGGGCACTTGTCTTTCTTATCAAACCTGTGGCTTTCACTTCCTCTCCAGGCCTTTTGTGCCTTGGATTTCTCACAAATTCCTGTAAGTGGGAGCCTGTGCTCACATTTGCAGCTGGACTTCCATGCCTGCACATCTGCCAGACATTCTCTCTGGCCTTGTTAGGCAGTGACAAGCAACTGACTGGGGAGTTGAACCCTTTTGTTGGCAGATCTGTTCTCTCCGGTGCCCAGGAACCGGGGCCTTTGTTTTCAGAGGCCTGCAGGTGAATATTATCTTGAGTGTCACCTACGAGGGGGAAAGAAGAGCAACAGTGATCCAAGAACTCAGGGAAAGGGATTATCGATTGATTGTGGAGAGTTCAGATTTCAAGGTCATGGGGAGGGTTTTTTGAGAAAGGGCTACACATTGGAAAGTTTCTTGATTTCTCTCTCTTTCCTTCTTCCCTCCCTTCCTTCCTCTTTTCTTTTTTTTCTTTTAATTTGAGGAAGGTAGTAGGAGTAGAGGACTAATGGCATGAAAGGAAAGATGGGGAACAGGAAAGGTCCGAGTGGGCAGGCAGCACCTAGAATGGTTCGGGACCTGGTAGTTAGTGATGGGGTAGAGTCCTCACTGAAACACGAAGGCTAGACATTCTCTTCGTTTGGCTGGGAGACACCCACGAGGGCTCGCTCATCAGTTCTGCTCCAACAGTTCACTGCTGGCCTGTAAGCCCTGTGAACTTAGCGGGTCAGGGCACATACCAGGGTTTCGGATTTGATCCCAGGAGGCAGCCAATCAATGTTTCTCACTTTCATCCCCTTCCATCTACTTCCTGTCCCTGTGGGCAGTCACATTACTTGTGTGAGCTTCCAGACATACAAGCCAATACAAATGTATCAACACACTTTGCACCGATCTCTTTTTCCTTTGAAGATACGTATCTTTGAAGCCCTTTCCATACCAGCATATAAAGAGCTGCTTCATCATTTTTTAGACCTGTGTTATTTTCCTTTTGTATGGATTCACTTTATATATCTGTGACAGGTTCTTTCCAGCTCAAGGCTGTAACAAATGGTGCTGGATTGGTAACCTTGTACACATATACGCAAGTTGGATAAATCTCCAGAAATGTCTGTAAGTGGAATTCCAGGGCCAAAGGCATGAGATTTGCAGTTTTGATAGATAATTGCTAAACTGACTGCCAATGAGGGTAGACTTGGTTGAGCTTATGCTATCAGTGTCTGCCAGGCCTGTTACGCACCCTTACCAGCCCCAATGCCTTATCTATCACACACTTGTCTCTTAAACAGGCTTTGCAATGCCTCCCCTTCATAATTTGGGAGCTGACTGAATTCCTAAGAAGTGTGCTTACTAAGTGTCAAGACCTCAAATTCTAGAGCCTGGCCACTTGGCTTAGTGCCTGGTTGCCGTGCACGAAGTATGTGCCTCAGTGCATCAGCTGTAAAATGGGGATATTAACAGCAGCCGCCTCCTGGGTTCCTGTGAGTGAGCTAGTACATGGCAAAGGTTGGAGCAGTGCCCGGAACATAAGCACTCGCTGTTGTATTCAGGGTTGGTGATTTCCAGGAGACACACACAGACCCTCTTCGGGACCAGCTCCTTAGTTACCTGTGAGGAAACTGCCCACCGGGTTTCTGCATTAGCGACGGCAGGGGAGATCCTGAAAGAGGAATCAGCCTGGGAAGGAAGCAGGGCATGGATGTCCCCTGGCTGATACGTGAGGGAGCCCAGAATTCTCAGAGTGGAGGGGTAAGCGTGGTTGGCCCTGAGCTGGAGGGGAAAGATAACAGATAAGATAGACAGGTAGTATCTGAGCTCTCAGATATCGTCCTCCTATCGCATTGAAAACATCAACTCGTCTAAACTTGTAAAACTGACATTTTGCCCCAATTCCTTTCAAAAACACACAAAAACATCCAATTTATTTGGGAGCTCTTAGCACGGGCACAGAGCAGACGTTCAGTACCAATTACTGAGGCTTAGAAGCCCATGTTCCTGCTATGCAGTAAATACAGTGTAAATATTTTCAGGAGGAAGAAAAATGCCTTTTACGGTATCTTCTTTCCTCTCCCACTCTCCAGCAGATATCTCATTGCCGGCAGCTGATCGAGCCTACTCACCAGCCCTTTTCTTACTTTTTTCTCTATATGTTGTCACTGCCCTGCCATCTTTGGGTCCATGCCAATGACCTAAAAACCCAGCTTCTCCAGGCTGAGCCAGCCTCTGCCGTGGGGCCTGCAGTGCCCGTGGCCAGGCAGGGACCTTGGAGCGGGCATTCTCTCCCCCTCCTCACCGCTCCTCCTCCACGCCCCCAGCTATTCAAGGAAGGGGTGAATGTGAGTTGAGTGCATGAGAGACAGAGAATTGTACTCTGGCTGCTGCAACTTTCTGGCCTCTTACTATAGTATGTTCCTAAATAATGTGACATGGCCTGCGTCAGTTTCTGGCTTTGCAAAACCCTGGCACCACCAGCTGACCACAGCAGCCCTGGCATGCCCTTGAGGGGTGGTGGACACACTGTATCTTTCCATGGAAGCTGCCTCCTAGCCGTGTGTGGGCAGCTGGCCCTCAGGGCTGCCCCCACCTTCTGCAGGAGGCGCCCCAGCTGCTCCTGCAGGCAGTCGTGGCACTGGGCCCAGTGGGCAGGAGGGCAGCGCCAGGCCCCTAGGGGACAAGGCCTACGCTGTGGTGCACTTACAGGGGAAGGAACTTCTGAGGTCTAAGCAGGAAGACCCAGTGTTTAAACTGGTAACTGCTGCAAGACCCAGTTGAGAGGTAAGACAGAGAGAATGTCTTCCTATGATTGGTTCCCCGTATTCTTGCTTGAGCATCTCTTTCAATGACAGCCTCCGGGCATTACTAACCTGAAGTGAGAAAGCAGACCCCCAGGGCCTGTCCTTGTGGCCATAAAATAGCACCTCAGGGAGGTTGAGCCAGTGCCTTAGTTGGGACTAAAGAGAAATCAAGAGCCAATGCCTGCAGGGTTCTCCTGGGCAGCTTCCAGGTGAGCCCAGTCTGGGTGCGAAGCCGGTCATGCTGCCTCAGCTCCTCCCCCACGCCCTCAGCCGGTGGCGATGGGCCTCTCCTGCCCGTCATTCTCTGCCTCCTCAGGCCTGGCTGCAAGTAGCTTCCCCAGTGGAGCCAGTTGTCACCTTGCCAGTGGGGGCTGGAGCACAGTTCTCACCACCTGCCACAGGCAAGTGAATTTAAAACTCTTGCTGAAAAGAAAAATATGGGGCAGATGTCAGCCAGCCTCCAGCTGCTACAGAGCAGGTGTGGCTCTCTTCAAGCCACCACCTAGCCCACTCTTCCCAATATTTATTTGTTTGCTTGCTCTGTGGCCAGGGAGAGGTGGCTGTGGAGCCATTGCAGGAATTCCCGCAGCGAGAGAGGCTGGAGCTTTTCCTTGGCAGCTGATGTGACTGAAGAGTTGGAGGGTGTTTTTCACGGGTGACGATCTGTAAAATGAGCACCCCCAAGCCTTCTTGTAGCTCATCACCTCTAATTCCCTCATGTAGCCTCGAGCAGGGAGGCTGTGTTCGTTATAATTACCGCCAACCCTTAGTGGCTTACAATGATACTCGTGTAATGACTACCCATTTAATGACTCAGTTTCTGCCCATTTAATGACTCAGTTTCTGCGGGTCAGGAATTCGGGCAGGGCTGTGGCTGTGAACCAAGTGTCAGAGCTGTAGACTCATCCGAGGCTCAAGGCTCGACTGGGGAAAGATCCACTTTCTGGTTCCCTCTGGTTGTTGGCAAAATTCACCTCCAGAGGCCCTCTCTCAGCAGGGTACAAACCACTAAAGGGGGTCCCCACCTCCAGCCTGCAGAGGTGGGCTCTTTCATAATGTAACCTAATCGAGGTGTGACATCCATCAGCTTTGCCATATCCTGTTGGTGAGAAGCAAGTCACAGCTTCCGCCCACAGAGCCCTTAACACCGGGAGGCAGATCACGAGATTACCTTGGAATTCTGCCTGCCTCAGGGAGAGGATACACGCTTATCAGTAAATGTTCCCAAAGTGTTTCCAAGTGAAGGCCCAACCTATTCTGTAGGATCACACGATTTTCTTTGCAAGGAAGCAGGTTTGTTCTTTCCTCCCAGCTCAGAAAGCCTCCAAGTCCCGACACACAGGCCAACCGTGTTCTTTCTCCACTTGATTCCGGCTCCTGCTCTTCCATTTCTTGGCTCTCTGTTCTTGAGAAAAGGTGCTTTTTTGTTCTGCTTTTTTTAATGGTTGTCTTTTTGACTTTGAATCTTAGGGTTTTCTCACCTGGAAGAATTCACGTCATTAAGATTTGGTTGGACACTAGCGTATAATAGTCGCTGTCACTTAGTAAATGGTATTTCCAGCCCCTTTCTTGTAGGACTGTTTATTTTATCCATTCATTGTATTAACCCATAAAACTCAACAACAGAATATTAGTCTTGCTAGTGTGAGTGCCAAAGCAAAAGAGAAAATGTATTTTAAAATAAATCCAGTTGTATGTAAGGAGCTGAACTCACTCTGGTCATGAAAGGACTAAAATCTGAGGCATGTCTAGAGAATTCTGCCCATGGCCATGTTTCAAAAGTGCTGATGTCACCGGTTTGGGGTTTTTTAATATCTCTCTTCCTCTTCTCCCCCCCCCCCCCCCCGAAGTAAGACTTAAGGTTAGTGGACCCTTGTTAAGTTTTAAGTTTTTATCCTATTTCATGGAGGGAAACAGCAAAGCGGCTTCAGATGGGAACTCGTCCCGCCCTTACTCCCAGGCTCTTGTGAAACCTACGCTGCCTGTAACCTGCGCTGCTTTCTCTTCCAGGCTCCCATGCTGCGGAAGGGCTTGGAGGTTGGGACCGGCGCTCCAGAGCGCCCCACTTGGCTGTAGCTCCAGGAAGGTCTCTCCGACCTCCGTCCCCTCGCACGGCCCCGCCGAAGCCGCTGGAGGAAAATGGTGTGACAGTTTCCTATCAAGCAGGATTGTCGGGCACACGGAACCCCCGTGAAGAAAGTGGCCCTTTTCCCCCGTTCGCAGGAGAGACATTCTCAAATTCCAAAATGCCAGCCAAGACCCCCATTTACCTGAAGGCGGCCAACAACAAGAAAGGAAAGAAGTTTAAACTGAGGGACATTCTGTCTCCTGATATGATCAGCCCGCCCCTCGGAGACTTTCGCCACACCATTCACATCGGCAAGGAGGGCCAGCACGACGTCTTCGGAGATATTTCCTTTCTCCAAGGGAACTACGAGCTTTTGCCTGGAAACCAGGAGAAAGCCCCCCTGGGCCCGTTCCCGGGCCACAGCGAGTTCTTCCGGGCCAACAGCACCTCCGACTCCATGTTCACAGAAACGCCCTCCCCTGTGCTCAAGAACGCCATCTCCCTCCCGACCATCGGAGGGTCCCAGGCGCTCATGTTGCCCCTGCTGTCCCCGGTGACATTTAATTCCAAACAGGAGTCCTTTGGGCCGGCCAAGCTGCCCAGGCTCCACTGCGCGCCCGTCGCGGAGGAAAAGGCCCCGGAGAACAGCCGTCTGTTGGAGAACGGGACGGTCCGCCAGGGGGATGTCTCCTGGGGCTCCAGCGGGTCCGCGTCCGTCTCGCAGTCCAGCCAGGGCAGGGACAGCCACTCCTCCAGCCTCTCCGAACAGTACCCCGACTGGCCGGCCGAGGACATGTTTGACCATCCCGCCCCGAGCCAGCTGGTCAAGGAAAAGACTAAGTCAGAGGAGTCCCTCTCGGATCTCACGGGCTCCCTGCTCTCCCTGCAGCTCGACCTCGGGCCCTCGTTTTTGGATGAGGTGCTGAATGTCATGGACAAAAATAAGTAGCAGGACACCTCCAGCGATGCCTTTGGGGTGAAAGGTATCAAAAAACAACAACAAAACAACAACCAACCACAGTCGAGAAGAGCTTCACTGGCTAGATTTGCAAGTTACGTGATGGGTTTTCTAAGATAATGTTCCTACAGAGTATTTTTTTACTTGTTAGGCCTTGTTTGCAAAAACAGTTTAAAAAAAAAAAAAAGACCCGTCCTAGCAAAAAGAGGAAGTGAGTCAGTGAGAACCCGTTTCGGCAGGCATGGCTGATGTTCAGCTCACAGGTTTTGTTTGTAGACACATAGGAATCTGGCTCGGCCAGGATGGCACTAGCCACAAAGGGCTGCACGGTCACAGGGAGGAACTTCACAGCACTTGGCATTTTCTGAGCAAGAAGAAGTCAAAATTTTATTTCACACCTAAACCTTTTTTTCTGGACTCTTTTCAATATTATGTTGTTTGGGCCCACCGTAGCGGATTCTTCAGTGTTAAAACTGTTCTGTTTTCACATTTGAACAACTTTATGGGTTTGTGGGATTTTCTTGTAGTTCTTATATATACACCTATGTATTATGTCAATATTGCAGAATTTTGACTGTCAGCTACATGTTGGTAGGACAAGCAAAGTATTACTGTAACTAAGTTATTTTTAAAGTTAAAATATATTTTTATGTGCCTTTGGCTTTTTTATTGCAGAGTCTGCATTTTATAGATACTACATCGAATGTTGTCATTTGACTTGTTTCCATTGTAAGCTGCATATGTGTATGTTTGGAAAAGTGTATTCATACTTTAGCTTTATTTTCTCTTTTCTTCCCCTGTTAAACTTCTCATAACAGCCAACCATGGATTGTCAAGTGTAAAGGCACAGGTTGCTCATGGCGCTTCTGCAGAGACTGTGGGCTACACCACATAATGATCTTTGGAAATATGGGGATTTTAGTACAGTACATACCTGCATTACATAGGTACTTCATACAACACAATAAAGAGTAAATGTTAAAATGACCTTGCATGCTTATAGTAATAAACAAACAAAAGAGTAATAATATTTTATTATTATATAGTCCAGAGCTAGAAAAATTGCTTCGCTAAAGTGCACATGAGTCTTTAACATAAGGTAAGAGGTGACTTCCGTTCACTCTGTAATTTTAATTATTCCCTAAAGGTTTCAGATCCCCAAATGGGCCCCACTGATGCTAACCTCTCAAAACTCATTTCGTTGGTTCTTCTCCCTCACTTTAACACACGCCACAGCAAACCCTTACAACCCAATCCCATCCCTACAGGACAGGTGTTCCCATGGGGCAGGTGCCACTTAGACAAGATTAAGGAGGCTAAAAAGAGAGCAGCAGAGAGCACTTGCCGCCGCCCCCCCCCCCCCCAGCAGCCAGAGATGCCCTGAGGGTGTCACTTAAGGAAGTAAGAACAGGAAATCCACACACCAATTCCGGTCCCTTTGTTAACCAACCTTTCCCCTTCAAAGACCAACCCTTGCACACAATAACTTGCATTTCTAATCCTGAAATCACTTCCTCTCCCAAATCCTTAAGTAATTCTCAGGGTTTGGAGTTGTTGCAATTCTATCATCTGATCATCTGAAAGAACCTTTGCACTGCAGGCCAACCACAGCAGGATGACTAAGAAGAGGAAACCTGTTCGTTTAGTGCACTGAGTGCCTGCCTTAATTTCCCAGTTGTATTTCTGTCCCATGATTTTCAGTGTTCTTCTGTCGACCACACCCCACTCACAGTTCCCAGTTCCAAATAGACTTCCCAGCCATGTCTCAATTTTGTGAATAAGGAAGAGTCTGATGTATCTCATAATTTTTAGCCAGACTCTCAACATGTCCCATCTTAATTATGATTGATTATAGTCATTCTCTCGTTTTACTTCTCAAGTGCAGCATTACCTCAAGGAAAAGATTAAACTATTAGGTAAAATGATGAGGGATGTCTGCATTTCCTCTGCTCCCTCTGTGACATATGGAGAACAGTCCTGCCAGCATTGGGTCTGCTTGATAGAATTCAAGCAATCATGCATCCTTTCAGGTACTTGGCCATTAAGAAGGGCTCCGCTGAGCCCTTTCACATACAGTCTCTACTGTTAGGTTAGGTACAGTTGAGATGGCAACGTACATGCCCCTAACAGAGAGGAAACAAAGCCACATCCGGTTTATGAACGATTTTGTTGAGTCAGTTCTGTGGCAGCCTTTCAAATACCTGGTTCCTCTTCGGGGAGCAGGTGCAGAACTGGTGGCTTTCTCCTGCCAAAGGGCACTCTTGCCTGGCACCTGCTGAGAGCTGAATTGGTGCTCTCAGCCTGCAGTCTACTTTTAACCTAATTTATCAAGATGCACTTTATTTGCAAACTCAAAATGGCAAGCCACCTGTGACCCAGTGACCAGGAAAGAGACCATGCACTTCGTGTAAGTCGAGACCCTTCAGGTTCCAGCTAAAAACATCTGCTTAAAAAGATAAAGACATCAGAGTACGTTGCTCTTCACAAATACAGTGTCATTAATGATCACATTTTAGTGCATCAGAAAGTCACCGTCAACACAAAAGACCACCTGGTTGAACTGAAAAGAGAACCCAGGGCTCTAGAATCACAGTCTATTCCTTTTTTATGTTATTGAAATGTACCATTTTTTTTCTCAAGTCTCCCCATGAAACACATGGAGTGGCGGAAGTCCATGCGTCTGTGAATTAACTTGATAAATACTTTAAATCAGACAAAATAAAATTACCTATTAGGTGGTGGTTCTGATGCTCCTAATACGGAACCTAGAGAGACAATCATTTTTACTATAAATTATATAAACGATAGAATGCATAAACGTGATGCATTTCTATTTCTCTCCAATAAGAGTTTCTCTTTTGGAAATTATATTACCAGGCTTGTTCCAAATGTAATAGTTCTAATAAACAAAATCCTCAGATTTTAGAATTAGTCCAGACTAGTATGAATGAATAACGGTTTGTTTTTTCTTAGATAAGTCAATAAGCTATATAAATAGGGTTATTGGGTGCTGCCCTATGTCTCCTCCCATACTTTGGGATCAGATTCAGCAAAGTAAGAATTTTCCAGATACCAAATGATAAGCTACCATCTATTCAGATGCATAGACTTCTGGTTTGTTTGGTTGTACAGGACTCAATAATGCCACAATATTCAAAACTATATTCACACACTAACTTGCTGGTTCCGGGTAGGCAATGCATCTGTTTTCTCAAAGAGAAGATGGTCTCCCTGACAGATTTTTTTGCATGTTTGTTTCATCTGACAGTACCTGGAGTGTCACATGCTTTATTCTGATGGCACAGCATTTCATCCAATCAGCCTTTCATCTGAGAGAGTTTCATTTTCACCTTATTCTTAGAACAAGTGCTTATTAAGAAGTCGGCCTGAACATTTCTTACTTGAGTTATCAGGGAGTCAAAATGTTACAAATTCATATGGAAGAATAGGAACTATGCTTATTTTATGAAGTGATGTAGAACACAATGAAATATGTTTTACAACTACACTGTATTTAATTATCTCCCATTTTTACGTAAAAAAATCTGATAGTGAATTCACTTCCATTGGCTTCCGAAGGAGGTCTGTACTCTTCATCCTTTGAAGGTCAGCCAGATTGCCTCATGGGAAGCATTTGACATGGGTGATAGGTAGATAAAAATATCTGCCCAAGTCAAAGCCACTCTACAGAATAGAATTAATATTCCAGACACTTATCTTCAGACAGAGATTTCTGCCCCGAAAGGCTAAGTGAAGTGGGTATTACCCTCACCATGAAATGATTATTGGAGTAACTCATGAGGCATGTGTGATTCATTACCAAAAATTCATCGGGGGTGGGGGAGGGAGTGCTTTTCGTTCTGGGGAGGGTAAGATTTGGGATGACTTCATGAAAGAGGAGGACCCAACAGGGAGCTCAGAGGGCTGGTGAGGTAAAATTCTTTTAGGGAGAGGGGCATACTCAGGGGGAAGAAGATTACACTGCATCCTGGTAGGGTTTCTACTCAAAATTGTCTGGGAACAGGAATTAAAGTAGAAAAGGCTGGGTTCCAGGTCTGAAAGAATTGGGCCCAAGCCTGAGAAGGCTCTCCCAGTGGAGTAAGAGACTGGAATCTGAGGCTGCTGAATTGGTGGTTCCCAGGGTTAGAGATGGGTATACAATAAGCCACCATGTTGTGAAGGCTCGTGCCTATTCAATGGTGCCTGCAGTGTAGCCTGAAGGCAGACTGGGGACACTGCAGCAGTGAGGCTGGGGGGTGTGCAGGGACAGTCATTTATGACGATGAAAGAAGTGAGAGGGACAGGTATCTCCTGAAACAGCCCTGGATGAAACAAGTTCATATTACAGTCCGGACTGAACACCCTTGGACAGCTGTCCCACCAGTGGTTTCCTCACACCCCCTCTCAAACCACTCCCCTACCTGACCCCCAGGCTGGGTAGTAATTTCTGATTGAGCATTCCCAGGATTAAAGGAGAAAGCACCCTAGGACACAGAAAAGAAAGTCAAAATGTCACAGACGAATCTCAGGAAAACTGACTCAGTGACGTAAAAGCAAAGAGCCCCTGACATTCTCTCAAACTCCTTAAAGTCCAAACTCACAAAGCAAGAGCCCAGAGAGATTTAGAAGCCCCCCCCCCCCCCCCCCTACACACACACACTTCCAGGGTCCGGTTTCCTCTATGAGGATCTGCCTCCTCCCAGGGGTGACTTCTGGGCCACTCACCCTTCAGGGAAGACCACGTTCACTCTTACGCTGAGCCCTTACCCTACAAGGACATCAGGAAAACGGCCATTCAGCACAAAGGCACAGAGTCCCCAACATTTACACTGCAAATACCCACTGTGAGAAGTGGGAAGATCCTTTCATTACATTTGGCCCTTGAACAAAGAGTTCCTTGAGGTACCACTTCCATGGAAAATTCTGTGGTTAATATGAGTCACAATAAATGCACCTTAAAACCCCCAAAGGATGTCCCATATCGTGCACAGCCCTATTTACAAGTGAAGTAGGCAGCACCTCGGTTCCAGGTCTGAAAGAACTGGGACGCTGTCTTCAGGGTCACTGACTGACCCTGGAAAAACAAACCTGCTGAGAACAACTTTTTCTCTGTGTAGCTGCCCCTGAGCCAAAAATCCACCCTTAGAGGTGGGCTCCTTTGGATGGAGTCCCCTTAGAATACTCCCGGGAGTAGCAGCATCTTAAAGCCATCAACAACAGAATGTGAACTCACCAGATGTCTACTCTGAGAGCACAGCCTCTAGCTAGGGGACTGGAACGAGGGAGGCACAGAGAGTAAGAGAGACCAGGAAAAGCTTGAAGAGTGCATTCACTTCATGCAAAATTTTGCCAGGGACCCAAAATAAGAGGGGGTGGGAAGAAAGGCTTTGCTAGGAGATTTACCTGTCACCAAAGGTGGCCTTCACCAGAGGAGATAAGAAAGGTTGTAGTTGGCTGGTCTTCCTGGTGCCAGAGGAGTCCATGCAACCATTGAAATCAAATCTACTTTTGAATCAACACAAATTAGATAGTACAGGAGAGGGTTAATGTCCAACCCTCAGTGATTGACTTGATTCCACTCTCCCTTCAGGCCACAAGGTATTCAAGGCATTAAGCATGGCTCCATGCCAAGTGCTGGAATTTTTAAATCTCTGTCTAACCTTCCCTCCAGCTCCCCCACCCCACCCCTTAACAACGGTATCTGAGTGACACCGTTTCCTTGAAGAGATTATGACTTTATCCTGAAGTCACTCTTCTAATAGTTTTTTCTGCATTCTAAGGTAAATAACCGTGTCCCAGAAACACATGAAACTTTGAAAAGCCTGAGACAGCGTTAATACTGCATATGGAGTCTTTTAGGGTAAGCAGTAATGTTCAGGCCTATCTTTGTAAAGTAAGCAGAGGCGTCGCTCACTGTGGGAGAAGAAGTTGGCTAATTATCTCTTAAACTCTACTCTCATGGCACTTAAATAAAATTGGGATGG